TGAAATTAATGGTTGAAATCAAACTTTGATGCTTGTTATCTCATAGATTTTGAGACTTTAGCCTGGATTTCACAGGCGGGCACATATTCTTTTGTGGATGTTGTCCATTAAATCTGTTTAAGCAGTGAAGGTCTGAACAGTTGCAGTGCAAGTCTTAGCAACGGTTTCTGTTTCTTCTCCACTGTCTGCTGATGCAGTGTCACTGTCAGTGTCAGTGATAGAGGGATATTCTTTTACTCCAAACACTGATGTTACTGTTACACAGAGATATGATGTAATACTGTATCAATAGAGAGAAACCTGAGTTGTGTTTATGATGGTGCTGATGAGAGATTCAGAGACAGACTGAAGCTGAACAATCAGACTGGATCTCTGACCATCACGAACATTAGAAACACAGACTCTGGCTTTATGAGGTTGACACATAGACTGTAGTACAAAAATAAATATACTAATCTTTGCAGCAATAAAATGTGTAGCACTTTGTTTTACTACCAAATTATATGTAATATCTTATTATTCATAATATTTAACTTACATTGGGAAGGTTTCCGTGGCCTCTTGCATGATCTTGGCAAAAAGTCTCACGATTTATTTCCAGAACATAATGCATGATGGGATACAGTAACCCTCGAATAGCGCTCCGGAGCGGTATTCGAGATATTGTGGGTTTAGTGTGTGTTAAGGGCACTGCGCTTTGGTATTTGTAAGACCTGGGACAGTCTTGCGCACTTACTTCCTGTCGCGTGCACGCGCTCTCAAGTGACCAAGACCGCAAGTGTGGGTATTTGGACAAGGGGCACCTGTGATGTGACTGAGTGTACTGCTTGTGGATGCATTCTGCTAAGTAAATGCAATCTTGAACAGATCTCATGCCTCCTCAAGTTATTACACAAATATATACAATACAACCCAATACTACTATTGCTGCTTTCAATAGGCCTACCTCAAAACACATGTGAGCACCAGGTATTTAGCATCTATTAGTGATGCAAAGGCCGATTCATTTTCGCGAACCGGCTATTTTCGGACAGATCGGCTCATTGAACCGGTTCTTTTCGGACAGATTGACTAATTGAAGTCAAGTCAAGTCAAGTCTGCTTTATTGTCAATTCTTCCACATGTACAGCACATACACACACACAGAGAATTGAAATTGCGTCACTCTCAGACCCTTGGGTGCATACAGATAACATAAATACAGATTAAATACAAAATACAAAATACAACTATACAAATATACAAATAAGGTAAAATGTAAAAATATATATATAAAGCACAAGGCATATGGCAGATAGAGTGCAAACCAGTAAAGTAAACAACAGTGCAGATATAGTGATTGTAGTGCAAAAAATGATTTGTAGTGCAAAGAGATTATTCAGACTGATTAAAGTGACAGTGTGTGTGTATTTGGGAGGGGGGAGTGGGAGAGACCGTTAGAGGGTCAGAGTTCAGTGGTGCGTGGGGCAAAGGAGGGGAGGGGGGGGGCAAGGTCGGGAGGGAGTTCAGCTTCCTGACAGCCTGATGGATGAAGCTGTCCTTCAGTCTGCTGGTCCTGGCCTGGAGACTCCGCAGTCTCCTCCCTGATGGCAGCAGACTGAAGAAGCTGTGTGTCGGGTGGGTGGGATCACCTGCAATGCAGAGGGCTTTGCGGGTGAGACGGGTGTTGTAGATGAAATCAAGGAGTTTATAAGACTGGTTTATTCATTCTTTATTCATTCTTTATACTGAACATATCCGCGTTTGAACCAGTTCAAAAAGCCGATTCATCGGTTCTTGACGTCATCAAGCAATAGCGTCTCTATGCATTTATTTTCTAACAACTCAATGCAATGTTATATCAATGAAAAATTCAAATAAGTAATTTGTGTCAACACATATTGAAAGATTCAAAAAATAAAGTTATTTGTGTGAAAGCATATTGCTGATTATTGTTAATGGTGTTTGTGATCACAGTTTCATTCGCTGATCCTTTATGTCAGATACGACTGACTGAGCAATATTGACTAGCCTACAACTCGGATAAGATTCCTAAAAGTTTCACACATTACAGACATTGATGCACAAACGCGGATATGTTCTACATGTCTACAGTATAAAGAATGAATAAACCAGTCTTATAAACTCCTTGATTTCACTTACGCAACTTTAAATATAAAATGCATGCACAATAAACTACTGTAAAATATATTAACATCACTCGACAGAAAGATTTTTCTCAGGTTTTAATAAAATGTAAATTAATAAGCATATTTCCAGTACGTGCCTCAGGCTTGCACAGTATCGTCAACTCAATCAGAATCTTAGTTAATCCTCTGCAAACTTCGCCACGGCTCATTCGGTTCTTGTTGAGTCCTCGGTAATCCTCGGCAAACTTCGACATTTGGTTGAACTGGCTCATTCGGTTCTTGTTGAGTTGGACGTGCTACTTCGGGCTGTGCGTCCTGCATCATCAACCCGGAACTAAAGTTCGAAACAGTTTGATTAGTGAACCGGCTTGACCGGTTACTTCCTGAGAACCGGCTCAAAAGAACGATTCGTTCATGAACCTAACATCACTAGCATCTATACACTTTCACCGCTCAGGTGTAAGCAGGTCCAACACAGAATCATTAATACTAACTGATCTGGTGATTCCTTTGTAATATTAATCACGAATGGTTTCACAAACGGGTCTTTGCTTAAGCCAGGACTAGACCTTAGTTAAATTAAGATAGGCTATTTAAGCAACTTTTACAAAAATGTCTTAGAAGTAAACATTACAGGTGTGCATCTTGACACAGAACAATAACACAGACATATTTTAAGATATGTCAGAGCAAGATATTTTCAGTTGAGACAGCTCAAACATGCATTTTAGTCTGGGACTAGCTTAAGCCTTGTCTGTGAAACCGGGGGTAAGTGTTTTCTTACAGATATTGCGTTTTTCTATTCATGTTAATCAGCATTAAACACACTTAAGCTTGTAAACCTAAACTTCTCAATAGGAAAGTGAGCTTGTGCTGTTTGTGATGAGAAACACGAGGTGGCGTTTATTCACTGTAGAAGTGCACAATTTAATCTGCTTTTTCTTTTTTCTCTTTCTTTCTTCTTATTTCTATTTAAAATTAATAAACAAAGTATATAATGTTGTGAGTCATCTTGGAAGCTGAACAGGACAGATATACTTACTGAACAAAAATGGCTCTTTCTCTGTTGTGCTCTATTGACTCTTAATGGCCATGTGCATGAGTTACTTTTTAAATAAACTGTTTAAATGCTATAAATGATCACTATTTGGGCATCTGCATGATAATTTTTTTGTATAGTTTTATTTCTATAATGGAAGTGTAAGCCCTGTATGATTCATAGATGTAGCTATCAGTTCAGCAGCTGGTTTTCAGTTTAAGGTGCTTTATTGGCATGACAAATATTTCTACTTCTGTATTTCCATATCATGTGCAATATTGCAGTATACAATTAATACAGTGCAAACTGAAAAAAGTGCAATGAAACAAAACATAAAATAAAGAGTGTAACTGGCAACGCCATAAAAAGGATGCCATATACAGCAGGGCTGGGCAACTTCGGTCCTTTGTCCTGCAGAGTTTAGCTCCAAACCCAACCAAAAACACCTGCCTGTAGATTTCTAGTTACCTTGAAGACATTATTAGCCTGTGCAGGTGAACTACATTTGATCAGGAGTCACCCTTCTTCAGGAACGACATTGCCCAACCCTGCTCTACAGATTCAAATTGTGAAGAATATTCATCGTTTTGGCGAACAGATGGCCTCGGCGTAGACCATATTGAAAGGATCCCAGTTCAGAACAGAGCATTGATAAGCAAAGCTTCATTTTACAGTCACTAAACAAATAGACCACACATATTTTCATCTTTACAGAATACAACTCCACGATATCTCCCAATATTCATATTCCAATATTCAAAATATATACACCAAATTAAATGAAATATTAATGAATATTCCACGTTTTGGCGAACAGATGGCCCCAGCGTACACCATATATGAGCTCTGTGGATGAAAGCATCTAAAAATATACTAAATATGCCATAAATGTGATAAATTCACATAAATGTAAATCATTATTATAGATTAACAATCACAATATTACTATCTGTTTTTTTATCAATGATACTAGAAGCGATCACATTATCATACGCACATTTCCATCACACATCTCAGTTTTCTATTAATATAGATTATTAAACTAATCTGTCTAAATCTTCCAAATTTACAGGTATATATGAAATATGGCCATTTACATCGTCTATGTGGTTTTTAAAATATGCTGCTAAAAGCTGTTTTATGTTTTCATTATGACACCCCTTTAATTAAAATATAGGCATATGATTCATAGATCGTTCATCTTTTCAGTATGTAATATCCAGTTTTCGATAAAAATAATAACAAATATTTGTACTTTTGTATTTGTGGAGTTTCTGCAGATAACGTAACAAAATAAAAAATAGCAACATAAATTAAGGGAGAAATGAAAACAAAGAAATGTAAAACGGAGGGAATTTAAAAAATGAAATATTAAAGCATATTCATCATTTTGGCCACTAGATGGAGAGCAAAGCTTCGTTTGGCCATCACTAAACAACTGGACCACACATATTTTCATCTGTACGATTAAAACTCCAATATTTGTCACA